ATGCAGGAGGACACATTGGAGACAAAATAGCAGAGCTGGAGGACTCCAAAAAGTTGGAGTACTTCAGGGAAATCAGAAATGTTAGAAGCTGAAAGACCAAGGAAGAAAGGATGCTTAGAAAAAAAAAGGGATGTGACAGTGAACAATGTGGGCATACAGAGAGAGGGAACAGCACCTGGTATTCTGGCCTTTGGATTCTGTGACATTTATAGCAATTATGTGTTGGAATAAAACTTGAGAAACTGTGGAGAATGTAGGAAAGGGTGAATTAAATTACTAATGAATGTAAACAAAATATTAAAAAATGTATAAGAGATGTTTAGAATAGGCAAATGCACAAAAAACTACTTTATACTCAAATCATTGAAATCTGGGAGAAAACTAAAATACTCCAGAGAAAGATATATTTATCTCAGAAGACTAAGGGGAGACTGTAGCTGACTCCTCAATAGAAAGAATAAAAGCAAAGACAAGTATAAAACAGAGTTTCTGCTTACCTACCTCTACACTCAGTATATTCAATAAAATGAAGCCATAGTAAATGTAGCTTTAACAAATGAAAGAGAACTTAACCACCAGCAGATACTTGCTGACAAGAATAATAAAGAAAATTTTAATTGACAAGTAAAAGTACCTACATTTATGGTTTACAGTGTTGCTACCGGCAACCTGGGACAGCATGGCTGGATACTGGAGCCTGAAGAAATGAGAAAAGACAAGGGAGGTGGGGAGAAAGAGAGAGAGAGAGAGGAACTAGGGGGTTCAGTGCTCACTGGCTGCTGAACCCTAAGCCCCTGTAAGCAACATTTAACTTTAATACAAACATTCATCTTATTCCCAAGTTCTCAAGGGTCCAAATAGCTCTAACCTAAACAACCAATAGGGTCCAGTTAATAGTAATTTACAGCTGGATGCTGGTGGCTCAAGCCTGTAATTCTAGCTATTCAGGAGTCTGAGATCTGAGGATCATGGTTCAAAGCCAGCCCGGGCAGGAAAGTCCATGAGACTCTTATCTCCAGTTAACCACCCAAAACTAGACGTGATGCTGTGGCTCAAGTGGTAGAGCGCTTGCCTTGAGCTGAAGAGCTCAAGGACAGTGACCAGGCCCAGAGTTCAAGCCTCATGACCAACAACAACAGCAAGAAAAAAGTAATTTGCATATTTGTTTTGCCTTGTCTGTTGAGTTTTCCGGGGTCCAGTTCTCAGCTTTCTGAGTACTGTTTAAGTTGACATTCCAACCTCATAACCCTTTCCTGGTCTCACAGCTCAGCCTCAGTTTCCTACATTACAACATGATGTTGTGCTGATGCACTATGGAATGGCCAATTCAAGCTGTTTTTTTTTTTTTTTAATTTTCATTTTTGTCAGTCCTGGGGTTTGAACTCAGTGTCTAGAGTCCCTGAGCATTTTTGCTCAAGGCTAGCATGTTAGCACTTTGAGCAGCAGCTTCACTTCCAGTTTTGTAGTGGTTAATTGGAGATAAGTATCAGAGACTTTTCTGCCCTGAGCTCAACCAATCTGAGCAGAGGGGCGGGGCCTGCTGTGTTAGGGATAAATAGGGGAGCAGCCTGCCTGCTCTGTGTGCTTGCTTGTCAGATTTTTGGTTGATGATGTACCCTTCTGTAGACGTAAATTTGACCTTGTTGAGACAATTCTTTGTTTTCATGTCTATCATTTTGACTCCAACAGTTCTTGAAGAGTATATTTATAGTGCATATGCATTACCTAATGTTTTTAGCATTTTGGGGAGGAGGGGTAAAAACACTTAAAATCTCCCTATTAGGATTTTTCAAGTATATAATTAAAAACTAAGGTTGTTGTGATGTACAGCCAATCTCAGGTTTATTCCTCCTGTATAACTGGAACTCTATGTCCTTTGAGTCTCACCTCAATACCCCATACCTAATGTCAATTAACTACCGTGTCCCTCTTGTTTCTGAGAACTTGACTTTTTAGATTAAACATACAAGTAAGATCACAAGGTACTTGTCTTTATTTGACTTATTTCATTCAAACTAGTGACTTCTAGGTTGTTAAAAATGGCAGGATTTCTTTATTTTTGAGGTGGAATAATTTTCCATAGTGCATACTGTTAAGAAACCGAGTCACAAGAGTATTAGAATAAATAAAGAGCTGCAAAGTATCTCAACAGACCAGAACAACTGTAATGGAGAATTGAAGAGAGATGCCATGGTGACCTGAGGAGAGTCAGGAGACACCAGGCATGATGTGCTAGGGGCAGGGTAAAGGGACTTAAGTAGAATCCTCAGTGTAGGTGACTGGAGGGTACAAAAAGTTTCAGGGCAGGTTTGTGGTTTCAGCCTGAAATAATTGTGCAGCAGGTCCTGGTTCAGCCAGCTGTGGCCTGCTTGGGGGAACTCGGGAGCCTGTTACCTGGAGAGGTGGGAGAGTGGATGTTCACATTTTGGGGATTGCAGATTCCCATCAAATACCTGCTACATTTCCTTTCTTCAGTTGTCCATCAGTAGACACTTCAGTTGATTCCATATCATGGCTCTTATAAATAATATTGCAAGCTGTGCATCAGTAGTTCATAACTGTAATCTTAGCCACTCAGAAGACTGAGATCTAAGGATCATGGTTCAAAGCTAATTAGGGGAGTAAAGCCCTGTTAGACTCTTATCTCTAGTTAACAAGCAAAAAACTACAAGTGGAGTTGCAAGAATGTGAGGCTCTAAGCTACAGTGCTGGTGGTTTATGCCTGTAATCCTGAGATCTGAGGAGTGAGGTCGAAGCCAGTCCAGGCAGGAAAGTTTGTGACTCTTTATCTCCAATAAACCAAAAATTTAAAATAAATAAAATGCTGGAACTGGAGCTCTGGTTCAAGTAGTAGAATGCTACCTTGAGCAAAAAAGCTGAGAGGCAGTGCTCAGGCCCAGAGATCAAGCCCTAGTACAAAGAGAGAAAAAGAGAGGAAGAGAAAGAGAGAGGGAGAAAGAGAAAGAGGGAGAAAAGGAAAGAAGGAAAGAAGACTGTAGTGTCCATGGGAATGCTGTTATCTCTTTGATATACTGTTTTCATATCCTTTGGAAATATATCCAGAACTGGAATTCTTGGGTATTAACTCTAGTTCTTGTAATTTTTTGAGGAACCTCAATATTGTTTCTATAAGGGTTATATCTAATACACATTTTCACCAACAATATACAAAGTTTCCTATTTTCTAAATCTTCACTATATTGTTAATGGTGTTTTCATTAACAGCCATTCTAGCAAGTATGAAGTGATATCACAATTGTGGTTTTAATTTGGATTTCTTTAATAATTTCTTTCATGTGCCTGTTGATCATTTGCATATTTTTTTGTTTTGAAAAGTGCCTTTTCAGGTTGTTTGCCCATCTTTACATTGGATTATTTTCTTACTATTGAGTAGATTGAATTTATGTATTTTAGATATTAATGCCATTATCAGATATATGCTTTATAATTACATTCTCCTATTCTATAGTTGATTCTTCACTCTGTTGATTGTCTTCTTTGCTGTGCAGAAGTTTATTACTCTGATGTGATCTATTTGTGTATTTTCACTTTCCTTGCTTGTTTGGGGACCATAACTAAAAACATAATAGCCCCAACCAATATCATGGTGGTTTCCTCCCATGTTTTCTTCTTACAGTTTTATAGTTTCAGGTACTATTTTTCTATTTGGGGTTGATTGTTGTATATAGTGTGAAGGTCTAATATCTTGAGCAAAAAAGCTCAGGGGCAGCACGATGTCCAGTTTTCTCAGTACGAACATTTATTACTTTGTTTTATTCTACATTTTGGCATTACTGGGGTTTGAGCTCAGGTCCTTGCATTTGTACTGTTCATCTTACTTGGCTATACTCCATCTCTAGCCCTGCTTTTTGCTGGTTATTTTTGACATGGAGTCTAATAGATTTTTTGACTGTTTTTCTTCAAGCCATGATACTTCAGCCTTTTGAATAGTTGAAGCTAGGATGGTAGGTATGTGCAACTGGCACCCAGCCTAGATTTAGTTTAAGATTATGGGTATGCTAATGAGTATGAAGTGTATCTCAGGGTAGTATTTGTGTTTGTGTGTCTGTGTGTTCATGTGTGTGCATGCATGCCAGTACTAGGGCTTGAATTTAGGTCCTGAAGCTCTCTCAGGTTATTAGTAGTGTATAGAAATATAGCTGATTATTTTTGTGTTGCTTTTACACTTTGCTAAAACAGTTTGCAGAGACTTAAGATACACTTTACAGCCTAAGCTAGACACTAATGGAAATGAATCTCTCTGCTCTGCTCTTTCCTGGTGGGATACACACTAAAATATTAAAATCAAATTTAAGTCTGGCTATAGAATCTGATTTAAGTATCTAATAATTTCTCAATTTTAGGTCTATCTGTGAAGGAAATGAAGGCTTGAACATTGTTAAAATCTTATTTAGCCAGGTGCTGGTGGCTCACACCTGTAATCCTAACTACTCAGAAGGCTGAGAGCTGAGGATCCATGTTTGAAGCCAGTCTGTGCAGGAAAGTCTATGAGATTCTTTTTTCCAGTTAACTACCTGCCTCCCCCTCAGCCCCCCCCCCCCCAAAAAAAAGCCAGAAGTGGGGCTATAGCTCAAGACAGCACTCAGGCCCCGAGTTCAAGTCCCAGTACCAGCACAAAAACAACAAAATAAAAAACTCCCAAAATCTTGTTGAATATTTCACAATGCTATATCATAGGTTTTTCTACAGATGGCATTTACTTTTATTTATTTTTAACTTATTTACTGACTAGTTTATTTATGAATGGCTATTTGTTACCTTGTTTATTAATTTAGTCAGCCCCCCTATGTAGCCCAGACAGGCCTCGAATTCAGAATCTTCCTGCTTCTGTGATTCAGGCATGCTCCACGATATTCAGCTCATACAGGTTTACTTAATAATGTGATACCAAAGAGTATGGAGTTGTGAGGAAATTTTAATTCGAATTGGCTATTGCTTGAACAAAGAGTAACTCTTCTTTTAAAAATGTTTACCTTGAGGTCTTCTGCGCCCCCCCAGCCCCCTTCCCGGCATGGCAGCGGAAGACGAGGCGGCATCGCCGCGGCTCCCGGATCTGTTTGAAAGTGGCAGGCAGATGCTGGAAGAGGTGGAAGTGGCCACGGAGCCCACGGGCTCCCGGATGATCCAGGACAAGGTGGCGTGGGGCCTGGAGGTGCTGGAGAAGGCGGAGGCGATGCTGTCGCAGCTCGATCTGTTCAGCCACAACGAGGACTTGGAGGAAATAGCCTCGGCCGACCTGAAGTACCTGATGGTGCCCGCGCTGCTGGGCTCGCTCACGCTCAAGCAGGTGGGCGCCAGCCGGCGCCTGGACCACCTGCAACAGGCCCGTGAGCACTTCCTGCACTTCCTCACCCAGTGCCAGCACTACCGTGTGGCTGACTTCCAGCTGCCATCGGTCACGGACGACGACGAAGCCGACACCGAGGCGGAAGACCCCGCCGGCCGCCCGCCGCCGGCCATCGCTGACCTGGTGGCCATGGCGTCCCAGCGCCAGGCCAAGGTGGAGCGGTATCGGCGGAAGAAGGCCCTGGAGCAGAGGCTGTGTGCGCTCAAGGCGGCCGTGGAGAGCGGGCAGGCGGAGGACGAGCGCGTTCGCGAGTACCACCTCCTCCACCTGCGGAGGTGGGTCAGCATCAGCTTAGAGGAGCTCGAGAGCATCGACCTGGAGATGAAGGTCCTGAGAGACAAGGACTCCTTGGGCGAGGCCTCCACCTCGCACGCACCCGTGCCCGAGCGGCCTCCCATGAAGCCCTTCGTGCTCACGCGGAATAAGGCCCAAGCCAATGTTTTCGGAGCCGGTTATCCGAGTCTGGCAACGATGACGGTGAGTGACTGGTATGAGCAGCGCGGGAAACTCGGAGAATTCTCGGATCAGGGAATAGCCCAGACCCCAGTCCAGTTCTCCAGAGCGCCTCAGCGACAGGAAAGTCAGGAGCAAAAGGAGGAAGAGGATGATGAGAGCGCACTCCACAGAGCGCGGGAGTGGGATGACTGGAAGGACACCCATCCGAGGGGCTATGGCAACCGACAGAACATGGGCTAATCTGCCCTCCACACCCCGAGGATGCACTGCAGCTTCCCTGCCGAGGGAACCCCGGCGTCTTCCCCTCCCCGGCCTCCTGCTTTCAGCCCTGTGCAAGGAAGGTAAAAAGATGCCGAGTCTTGTTTTGTTGTCAATAAAGTATCCAACAGTCAAGTGTCTATTTGTACCCTAGATAATGACCAATGATCTTGTTTTGCCATCACTAATTTTCATCGTGGTCTATTCGATTCCTTTAATGGAACAGAAAAGGCACTTGAGAAATGGTTCTGTATATAATCGATGGCTGTATGAATTCTCTTTTAAAAATAAAAAGTCCCTATCATGTGAGTCTGTGCAGAAAAATATTATTGTATCTTTTGCCTCTTCTTTGTTCTACTAGTCTTCGAGGAGTTTTTTTTTTTTTGTTCTGTACTTTCCAGTTATTTATTATAGAATGTAAATTTGTCTAATCAGGGAGTTGGTCTCCCCAGAACAGGATACTCAATAAATACTTGTTGAGTAAGTAAATAATTCAGTAAGCCCGCGCTGGTGGCTCACGCCTGTAATCCTAGCTACTCAGGAGGCTGAGATCTGAGGATTGCCCTTCGAAGTCAGCCCGGGCAGGAAAGTCCATGAGACTCTTATCTCCAATAAACCACTAGAAAACTGGAAGTGGCGCTGTGACTCAAGCTGTAGAACGCTCACCTTGAGCTGAAGAGCACAGGAACAGCGCCCAAGCCCAGAGTTCAAGCCCCACGAATGACAAAAAAAAAAAAAAAGAGTCTTACAGACTTTCCTGCCCAGGCTGGCTTTGAACCATGATCCTCAGAGCTTAGCCTCTTCAGTAGCTAGGATTACAGTGTGAGCCACCAGTGCCCGCTGCTTGGAGGTTTCTATTAAAGCTGACTTTGCCAAGTGTACATATTTCTTTTCCACCACCAGGGAGTGGTATAACAGCCTAAGTCAAGTACTGGGAATATTTCAGATAGTGACATTTTGTTATTTCTGTAACTTAAAATTTCCTTTCCATTTAGTCTGACTAGCTTGTCCCAAAGCATATGTAATAATAACGGTAAAAATGGTCAGGCATAGAACTTGAGTCTGTAATCATTACACTCAGGAGTATAAGGCAGAAGAATGGCAAGCTGGAAGCCTTTTTGGTCTATGTAGAAAAACATAATCTTAAAAAGCAGTAAATGGGAGGGGGGGCCAAGATGGCGACGGGGCAGTAGGGAAACGCCACAGCTCTCCCCAACCAAAAAGAGAGTTCGAGTTCCAACGCTTAATCTCCGCAAGAGACTGACAACAACAAAAAGACGAACACTCAGAGAAAAACAGGAGGTGGAAAATAACAAAAAAGAGAGGAAAAGAAGAATTTTAGAACAGAGAAGAGCGAAGACCCCTCCGCCAACCTTTACTGGCCACGTGGCAGTGCGCTAAGCCGCGGCCAGCCAGCCGGCGGGGTCTGCTGGAGCCCCAGAGACACAGGGGGCCGCCTGCAGATCACCTGCGCAGAAGCCGCCTGAGGTACTGGTTTGCAGACCAGCTGATCGCCACGAACAGAGAAACCTACCAGCGGGGAGTCTCCATGAAGATCCCACCCCCAGCCCTCACTCTCCACCAGAGCAGAGAGGCTCCATCCCGCCAAAGCCGCCTGGCACCAGCAGCACGACAAAGGGAGCTGTCTGCAGACCACCCGTGCAGAAGCCACCTGAGGCACCAGACCTGCCTGTTTGCGACGACCCGGCGGGGGCCGCCCAGGTCCCAGAGGCACAGGAAGCTGTCTGCAGACCACCCGTGCAAAAGCCGCCTGAGGCACCAGACCTGCAACAGCAACTGATGACCTACGCCACACAGAAACAACTAGCTCCAGGGTGAGTACCCCACAGGGGACAGTGTATCCCTCAAGGGAGACCAGAGCTGGAGGGAATCCCCAGACCCTGATCCAGACTCCCTACCCCAACACCTGGACCACAGGACCCACTAAAACTGGGAACTGTTCGAGAGCTCCACCAGTCCGTGGAGCACACTCCGCTGGCCAGGATAGTGCAAGAGCGCCCCTGGAAGGGAGCTTAAATGCCCAAGCCAGGAACAGCGCCCCTGGGTCAAGACAACCAACAGTAGAAGAAATTTGAACTGTGTACCTCAGGCTGCATAACCTAGGTGGTATACACAGCAGCACAGGCCTAACGAGTGCGCTCCAGGAGGGGGCAAGAACCAGGCCTGGGGATCTGGCGCCTGAACAACACAACCAACTCCTCCCAACTGAAGTCAAAAGCTGAGCATACGCCTCAGCAGAGGGGAGAAAAACAGGGAACAGCACTCCCCGGGAAGCACGCCTGTGACAACAAAAGACCTGGAGGCTCAGGGCAAGAGAAGCCCAAACCCCACCAAAACTCCACCCATATACTCTAGGCTGGGAATTGGGCAACACAGGCCGTCAGCACCTGATAGTAAGCAGGATCTCAGGCTGATAAGGCGGCTCAGCAATAGAGTGATAGTCTTGGATGTACGAGGCCCTGGATCTGTTTCCTCAGCATCACAAAAGCAAAAAGGGTCAGAAGTGGTGCTGTGGCTCAAATGGTAGGGTGCCAGCCTTGAGCTGAAGAGCTGAGGGACAGTACCCAAACCTAGAGTTCAAGCCCACAACCAGCCCAAAACAAACAAAAACACATCAGGAGCCCATAGCAGACTCCAGTATCTGAGAGAGTGTATCCAGAGCATCTGATCTTCCCAAGAGCACCCGCAGGAGCAAACACAAGCAGTCTAGGCTGCTCAACCCTTCCAAAGGCGAGAATTACCAGCAATCTACAGCAGAGAGCTGAGAATCCTAAGTAGGTCTGAACAGCAGCTGGAAATAGGCTCCCAACAGAACCCAGATCAGGCACAGACTCTCTCTACCAATACAGAATCAGCAACAAAACAAAGACAGACACACCAAAACAAAATTGAAGAGCAGTCTCCTGAACCCCCATGTGAAAATCACAGAAAAAAATTACAAGGTTTACCACCACCCAGGACAGCAAGCTAACCTCAAAAGCCAGCAGCCACGCACGGGAGAGCCCCAGTGGGAGCAAAGCAGGAATGGATGACAAAAGCTACATCCAAGGGTTGCTGGAGGCAATGACTCAAGAAATAAAGCGAGAAATTGATCAGAAATTGAAAGAGCACAAGGATGAACTAACAAAAGAGATACAGGATATCAAACAAGAGATGCATGCAAAAATAGAAGCTGCACAAACCTCAGTAAGAAGTGAGATAAACGCCAAATTAAAGGTAATGCATACTGAGATCAGTACTATGAGAACCAACATTGAATCCATAAAGGGATCCATTTCCTCCATGCAAACCACAATAGAAGCCATGGTCAACAGAGTGAATGAAATGGAAGGTAGAGTGTCAGATACAGAAGACAGAATACACCAACTGGACCAAAAAGTGACAGATATGATAAATCACTCAAACCAAAGGGAAATTCAAGAGCAAGCAGATAATGCCAAGAAATGTAACCTTCCTATAATTGGAGTGGACGAAGGTGAGGAATTCCAGAGCAAGGGAATGCAACACCTATTCAATAAGATAATCAGTGAAAATTTTCCCCACCTCAAAAAGGAGCATCTTACCTACATAACAGAAGTGTATAGAACACCCAACAAGCAGGATCCCAGGAGAAACACTTCTAGACACATTATAGTAAAAATGATAGATCTGAATAATAAGGAAACAATCCTGCATGCAGCAAAAATGAAGAAGGAGCTATACTACAAAGGGAAAAAAATTAGAATCACTGTAGATCTCTCCACACAAACAATGAATGCAAGAAAAGCCTGGGAAAGCACCATACGAGCCCTGAAAGCCAATAACTGCCAACCAGACTGATATACCCGGCAAAGCTAGCATTCACATTTGATGGAGAACTGAAAACTTTCAATAGCAAAGAAAAACTAAATGAATACATACACATTAAGCCAGCATTACAAAGAATTCTAAGAGGGGGGACACAACCTGAAGAAAGCAACCAGGAACTGGGACCTGCCCCAGACAGGCATTACTCAAAGTTTAACTGAGCAAGCACAGGAGGAAAGGAAAGAAGAAAACTTAGGAAAACGGAATGGCAGGAACAACAATGCATCTCTCTATACTTTCTCAATATAAATGGGCTGAATTCTCCAATTAAAAGAAAATGAACTGAGGACTGGATCAGAAAAAAAGACCCATCCATCTGTTGCCTTCAGGAGACCCACCTCTCAGCCAAACATACAAACAAACTCAAGAGTGAAGGGTTGGAAAAGGATCTACCAATCAAATGCCCCCAGTAAGAAAGCAGGTGTAGTTATCCTGATATCTGACAAAATAAACTTTTCATTAAAATCAGTACAGAAAGACAAGGACGGACACTACATATTAATAAAGGGAACAATCCAAGAGGAGGATATAACCATCATCAACTTACATGCCCCAAATATCGGTGCACCCAGATATGTCAAACAAATGCTCTCAAACTTACAGAATAAAATAGATCCCAATACGATAATACTAGGAGACTTTAACACGCCACTCTCACCAAAGGACAGGTCTACCAACCAGAGGATTGGCAAAGAAGCTACCGAATTAAGTGAGGCCATACTTCAAGCGGAATTAACTGACATCTACCGAGTATTTCACCCTAAAACAACACAGTACACATTCTTCTCAGCAGCTCATGGAACTTTCTCCAAAATAGACCATATCATAGTTCATGCAAGGAACTTAAGCAAATACAAAGGGATTGACATAATCCCCTGTATCCTATCTGACCACAGTGGAATCAAGCTAGTTCTCAATAACAAAGCATACCACAGAAATTTCTCTAATACATGGAAATTGAACAGCACACTCCTTAGCAATGCCTGGGTAACGGAAGAGATCAGAGAAGAAATAAAGCATTTCCTACAACTCAGTGAAAATGAAAATATCTCACAAAGAAACTTGTGGGACACAGCAAAAGCAGTCCTGAGGGGCAAATTTATTGCCCTCAGTGCCCACATCAAGAGAATGGAGACAGACCAGGTAAATAATCTCATGTTGCAATTAATACAGCTAGAAAACAAGAAAAAATGGAACCTAAAGTTACTAGACGAAGCCAGATAACCAAATTAAGAGCAGAGATTAACCAATTAGAAAATCAGAAAACTATAACCAAACAAACAAACTATAAACCAAACAAAAAGCTGGTTCTTTGAAAAAATAAACAGAATTGATAGCCCGTTGGCAAGATTAATTAAAAAAAGAAGAGAGGAAACCCATTTTAACAGGATTAGGGATGCCACGGGAAAAATCACAACACGTGCCCAAGATATCCAAACAATTCTAACAGACTACTTTC